TTCCAAAATTGGCCAGTCCAGGCATTTCATGCCAACAAGAGACGGTGATGGGCTTAGTCAGGGTTGGGTTTAGGGTTAATTTCAGGATTCCGGGTTTCGGGTCTAGGGCTTAGGCACGATTGCTTTCAAAGACAATTTCAAGGCCCGTGTTGTGTATCCTTGTTTTCATGCTTCGGCAAGCTGGCCGCCACTCCTGTACGTGTATATGCATCTACATTTGAGCTATAGTCTAAACTCCTTGAAGAGGGTTATATAGGGGTATATATAGGGGACTACTACAGGGCTTATCAAGAGGGATACTAGGAGTGTAGACTATAGCTCATATAAATACGCGTTTCACCTTGCTCCAGAAGCCAAATTGAATCTTTGCAGGCTGTATGAGTTGCCATTTACAAAAGACTGATGTAAGTTCTTGTCGGTTTACAATATGGCCATCAATTGTGGTGCCCCTTTAATTAAATAGCAGGAGAGAAGCTCCGCTAAACGGTAGGGTTGAAAAGCAGAAGGTCCAAAATAGAGCCCAAAGTACTGTAATCCTTGTTTCAGGAACCCCAAAAAAGGACCTCGAACGTTTGGAAACCCCTTTGTACTTCTGTGCGGAAGATAGAAAGTCTTTGTTGCCCTACCTACTGCAGAGCGGGTGCTCCCCAGTTACACAACTGTACTTCAAAATCCCATAGCTAAAGCCTTTTTACCCACATCATAAGCGTACAAACCAAATTGTAACAGAGGGGCCCCTCCCCATCACAAGAGTCACGCAGCCCGTGTTCACAGTTGACTTGCCTCACTTCGCGCCACAAGGTTGCGTCCTTTCATCTTAAACCATTTACGATCCTTGCTTTGGACAGCATTTGGCTCGCCTCGTCGCCCGCCTTGGCTAGCATGGCCGAGGAGTCGCAGCTACAGCAGTTCCTCGGCTCCAAATCTTTGGGTGTGGCATAGTGATTCAGGATCTCGCGGTTGACCTTCAGGGCTTCAGAGCGCGGCGTCATACAGGGGTTCATAGCGCTTTAGGGTTTAGACCTGTTTCAGCAGATGTTTCAGGAGTTCCTCGTTTAGGGATTCATGATGCAGGGATTTGTTTTCAGCGTGCGGTTGAGGGTGATGTTTCCTGACTGTTCAAGACATATAGCTTTGTTTTCTGTAGGATTGGTGCCTCGGGGTCCTGAAGTGGGCCCTTGAGCTTCTGGCGCTGTAGCCTCATCCTTCTACCAATGGGCTGTGGCAGGCCCACCCTCTGATGCAGGACATTCCGCACAGCAGGTCCAAGTTGAAGGCAACCCCCCTTCGGCAAAAGACTCAACACCTTTTGTTGCTGCTCATTCTTCTGCTGAACAATGCCGTGCACTTCCAGCGCTTGGGGTGGTAACCCATCAGTATGAACAAGAGGCAGCACTTACAACGATGCTGTTGGTCGTGCTGCTGATGCATTTGCATTCGCAACTGCTCCCGGGTGCAGTGTCTACCTTTTCTGTGCCCGTGCCCAGCCAAAACCAAGGTGCAGAAACAAATAGATAGAAGACAGTTGTTAAGGGCGCAAAGTTCAAAGTACAGACATGTGGGGATTTGCTTCGACGAAAAAGGCGTGGTGCAATTGCCGTGGGGCGCCCCGCCTCAGACACATAACAGGGTGTGCTACTTGTGGGTGAAGTTAGATACCTACACTTAGTCTCGTCGCGCATGTGAGCATGCCACACAGCTCTGCCATGCAATGATATCTGCATGGCTAAAAGATCTTGATCTAAAGGTGCTGCAGCAGCGGTGTATGGATTCAACAGGCTTGCCTTACACTCCGTGTGATTTGTGCCCGAAACACCTCAAGTTCCAGATCCCAAAGAACTACCCGCAACCCCCCAGCTCCTGTGCGGTATCATCCTCCCCTAAAGACTTACTCTAAGGGTCCATGTACCCAATATTTGTGTACATGGGTCTTTGGGAACTAGCAATTATAGCATTGGTTTGGGGTAAGTATATGATTATTGGGTGTTCGGACCCTTAGGGTAAGCCCTACCCTAAACCCTAAATAGTAGTTTCCATCTTTTGTTTTCCATCATCCCAATTTTAAACCCTATGACACCACCCCCAGGCTTTGGTCTACCTCATGGGATGCCTGGATCGCGCCTCCAGGCTCTGAAAGTTGTGTATACATGAAGCTGGGCTGTTCTTGAGCCACGTGTTTTTTGTTGTTTTGTTTTTGTGCATGCTTGATCGGAACCCGACAAACATGGGTTTAGGACTTGGACCATTATCGTTTTACATTCCCTCACTTCCTCAAAATCACCACTTCCTAATACAGTCAATACAGTTTTATCATTGTGGTATACTACAATGAAGTGGGAAGACTTAATATTCGGGAAGGGTGGTGGCTTTATCACAGGGGGTAGGGGATTTTGGTACTTCAACAACATCCCAGGAAGCCGATAGAGGTTGCCGCCGGGCAGAGGTTTGGTCCGCCTGATGTGATCCCAAAATAGAGGGACCCCAATATAGACCCCAAACTATTATAGTATATACTTATTATAGGGACCCCCGAGAAGTTACCCCGAATTTTGGGACCCCCCCTAAATATCCTGCTTTCTTGACCTCAGCATCTCCATAGAGTACTCCGCCATGCTTCCCAAGACACAAGGAACTTGGTCAAGGATGGTTTCAGTGTAGACCTTATCCGGGGCGGAGGTGGGTTTCTTGAAAATTCTGCCCCATATGAGGTTACCTCAAGTGCCCCTTCCTAGACCCTCCTCCTACCCTCTATTGGGGCCTAAGTACCTAATATTAGGGACCATATATCCCCAATTAAGGGTACAAAGAGGGTTCTGGTTATCAGTGTTCTGACATCACGAAATGGAAAGATCCCGCCGTTTGGAGGGGCGACTTTAGGAGCCTACGATCAGGCTTCGACAAGAGCAACGCCCTCCGCTCCCATCGCTCCCGTTTACACGACGGCCTAAGCTAATGAACCAGGATAGCTTTCGTCATGCTAGCGGCTAGCATTACTTAAGAAGAGCAAATGCGTGAATGAGGAGTATCTGGCTAGATCGGTAGCCGTACCACTCGCTAAGTTCGTTGAATTCTCATACAACCCAGTTTCCATTTCATTTTATATTATCCGTTTGATTCTCTACTATGGTGACTTAATCCTAACCCTCTATGGCAAAGGTGTAACCCCGACAACGCCCTTTAGCGGGAACATCGTGTCAACTTGATTTTCAATTCCTGTGTCAAACAAAATGCAGGTGTACGGTCCGGCCATGCAACATGACCACCGACGTCTCTTGGTAGAGTCACATCCCAATAATTTCGAGATACCTTCCCGAAAGAAACATGCAACGCATACATAGCGAGAGCAACCTGCAGTTCTACATGTGTGCCAGTAATTACACGTTTGTAAACACATCTGTGCAGACATTCGCACTCTCTACACACTTAAGTATGCGCATATATGATGCAAAGGAATTCGGGTATACGTGTAGAAGTTCAGCATGCCAATGCCAAAAACGCGTATACCTGGTGTATATATGCATAAGTGATATACACATGTCTTCGTTCCCTTCTACATGTTGTGCGCATTTTCATACCTATGACCCAAAGGGTCCAAGTCCTGAATTCCTAAACCGTAAACCTGAAACCTTGGGCCATTTTGGATAAGAGTCTCGTTGTGTGCATAGGAGCCCCTTTGGGCTCGAATTATATACCATGTAAGTACGTGGACCCTAAAACCTGAACCCTAAACTTTAAACCCTAAACCGACATATACACCATGTATTACCATGTAATTACATGGACCCTTTGGGTAAACCCTAAACCCTAGACCCTTAAGAGTCCCATTGGCAACCCAAAGGCTCCATGTAGTTATATAGTATATATTTAGGACCCAAAGAGGTTCCCATAGAACTACTTCAGGGCTCAAGTCTATACCATACGAGCTATAGTAAAAACTCCTAGCATCACCTGTATGATCCCAAGGATAGTCCCCCATATTATCCCCCTTTAAAGCAGTTAAGACCCTAAACCCTAAAACCTTTTGATAGCTACATGGAGCCTTTGGGGCAAGGATGAGGGATCCCTGACAGCGGCAGATTGGCTCAGTCAGCTTGATTTGCGCTCTGAGGGTGCAGGCCTGGTGTAGGGTTTAGGGTCTAGGATTTCGGGTTTAGCATTTATGGTTTGGGATTTAGAATTTGGGATTTAGGACGTAGGGTCTAGGGTGTATAAGGTTTAGGGCTTGGGATTTAGGGTGTAGGGTTTAGGGTTTAATCTCCCTAGAAGGGGGACCCGAATATAGAACCCAAAAGTACTAGAGTCCTTATTGTCGGGAACCTCAAGAAGGTACCCCTAATTTTGGGAGACCCCCTAATTACCAGGCCCACCCAACTACCCTTGATTGGGGTCGATGTAGGCTCTTTTCTTTGTAGGTAGCTGGGCTCTATGGAGGGCATTTGGGGGTAGGACCATCATAACCCGCACCGAGACTACCAACACTGACATCGTGTTTTTATTCTTAGAACCATTGCCGTTCTCCATCACACTTTCTACTACCATCATTATGTGGGGTTAAGGGTTTAGGATACGGGCTCTCTACTTGATGCGTAGTAGATGCGGGCTCCCATTCCCTAGGAGTGACTGAACTTCTGAGCACGAATGGTTTAGGATGTAGGGCTTGGGATTTGCTAGGCCCCTCTCAAAATCTGAAATTGTGAGCATGTAGGGTCTAGGGCGCTATGAATGCTCAAGGCTTTCTCAAGCTCTGATCTTGTGACCGTTTCGGGTTTAAGGCGTACGGCTTGGGATTGCCTAGGGCTGTCTGCAACTCTGAACTTGTCATCTTTTAAGGTTCCGGCGACATTGAACCCTGGAAATCGAAACTGCTACATTAAAATTGTGTATATATTGGGGATTATAGTAGGGAATCAGGGAATACATAGGGGTCATCTCCCCTTGTTCCCTTTGCATCCTTTGCCGTGATGGTGTGAGGCATTTTCAGTCTAACGGCGACGGATCCGATGGGCCAACCGACGCTCGACTTGGAACCGGGGCCTTCTACCCTATGGGTCCAAGTACCTAGCTAGTTGACAGTTTGACCCCACATGGGTTAGCATGTAGGTACTTTGTGGCCTATGCTTCTTCTAGTTGGCATTTTTAGGGGAGGGTTTCTAGGCATGTCGATGTTGCGCGGGTAGCTCTAGATTGGATTTCTGGGTAGTCATATGATCATGGGCACTTTTCGGGCCCTTGAGGCATGGAAGGCGAAGGGGCTTCCTGGAGGGCTATGACCTGCTGCCATGTATAGGGCTCATCTATCATACTATAGTCCTACATTAGCCATATGCTTCGAGAGTCTTGCACTATGATTCGTGTTTTAGCTGTTGGGAGGGTACCTTCTATTTATAGATTTTGGACCCCTAGGGTAAGCCCTAAGCTCCAAAACCCCTTAACCCTAAATCCTCGACCATAAACCATGAACCCCAGACTCCCAGGCAGTCTGAGGAGGCAAATGCAAAAGTCATGGAGGAGCTTGCGGCTGAGTTGGCGGAGAGGCTGGCCACTGGTGAAGGCCTGCATGTGTGGATGGAAGCCTATACCAGAGGATTCACTGTGACCAAGCCGAAAAGTCCATGGAATCCTTGTATAATTCCCCGGGGTATGCTAGTGGATCCAAATTTTAGATTCTTTGCGGCTTCTGGGTAGCAAGTACAACGGATGTTCAGACCTGCCGAGCGGGCCAGTGCCTGTCAAGAAAGACGTAGCAGGTAGCACCAGCATAGTACATGACAATTCTAATGGACTTTTGCTCGATGGCTTGCCTGTAGGTTTGGTTTTCGTAGAGATGTTCGCCTAAAACGCTACCCTGTGCATTCAAGAGGTACGACAGTAGTCCCTGTTACAGCCCAAAACCATTTGAGCTACGGACTAAAGTTAGGTTGGGCGGGACCTATAGGGGAATATATCTTTTTAAAACAACCTATTAAGGAATACACCAGAACTTTAGTCCAGGGCTCATGTGGGGTGGGCCCCTTTAAAAACAGCTGCCATATGTCGCTGGGCAGGCAAACTCCGTGAGTACTGGCGGAGCTTTGGCTTCAACTTGAAGGACGGTTTGGGTTTTGGGCTTTGGATTTTGGAGGTTTATTTTGGGTTTAGGGTTTGGGTTTAGGGTTTTAAGGGTTTAAGGGTTTGGGTTTTGGGTTTTTGGGGGGTTCGGCGCTTGGTGTAGGTTGGGTACTGCCCCCACATTAAAACAGGTTATAATAAGGGCAGAAGTAAGGGCTTTATGCAACCGTTTTATGGTTATTAGCCAGCTGTTACTGAGTGTGGGCAGTACCCAAGGCATAAAAGCCCAATACCCCTTAATTTCGGAATATACCTTAACTTAAATCATGGTAAGGATCCTAGTAGCGTTTAGGGTGTATTCCCTAATTAAGGGATGTTGGGCTTTCCGGGTATAGGGTTTACCTAGAGGAATTCATGAAGCCCATAAACAAGCTGTGTACTTAACAGACTGTTATCTCCACCTTTTCTGAAGGGTCTAGGTTACTCACAGCTATGCAGTAAAACCACATAAGTCCGCGACGTGAAGGGCTGGCTTTCCATGAAGAACTTTGCACATCCTGGTCTGTCAACAGATCCTGCACCGAATGTGCAGAAGCTTCTAGCCTGAGACCTCCCCAAGGAAGCAAAATGCCCGCGCGAAAGCCATTCTCTCCACCTGATATGTTGCTTACACCTATCGCAATGAATAGAAGCAACCCTACAACCTTTCTGAACCTCAGTATATAACCCCTATATAACCCCAATATACCATAGTAGTTTCCATTTTATTTTCCATTATCCCAATATAGTCCCTATATAACCCTCCTATTCACCCGAAACGTCAGGCTCAAACTTATTGGCCCTTACAGGCCCGATGGGTTCCTGCATGGAGCCTGTTCGTTTACCACCTTGAGGGTTAAGGTTTAGGGTTTAGGGGTTTAGGATTTAGGGTTTAGAGTTTAGGGGTTTAGGGTTTCGCTTTAGGGGTTTAGGGGCTCCGGGTTTGGGGTTTAGCCCAACAAACAACAAGCAGCTACACTCTCTTGTTTTGCCAAGATCCAGCATAGGTTGAGTAGCTTGATACTAGCAGGAAGTGCTTCGCAATATGCGGTTGTAACACAACCCAATAGACTCCCCTTGAGAGGCACCTCCGCAATCCTTTTGGAATGCCCATATGGGAGATTGTCAAAATTATGGTCCCTTTTTGGGTCCCCTAAATTAGGCTCCGTATTATAATAGGGACCCAAAAAGGGACCATAATTTTGAAAGTCCCCCATATGTCATATGCTAGTTTCCCAAAAACAGGGGACCACCTTATAGACCCCAAAATACTACAATCCCTATTCTGGCGACTTACAAACTGGTACCCCTCATTTTGGGAAACCCTAATCCCAATAATCACCTATATAAGCCCAGTTTCCATTTCATTTTCCATTTTCTTTTCCATTTGATTCTCCATAATAGTAGGTATATACCCTATATATCCCTTTAAAGGGACCTAGGGTTTCCATTTTCTTTTCCATTATCCCTATATTAGGAGGAAACCCTAAACCCCAAGGGTCACTATAGGACTATCCAACTTGGAGCTCCAAGTTCAGGGCATTTTGTACCAGGACCCTCCTCGTACCCTTAATTGGGGATATATGGTCCCTAATAGTAGGTACTTAAGCCCTAATAGAGGGTAGGAGGAGGGTCTGGGTATACGAGGTATGTGGCATTTTTGCCGGGCCCTGTATGTTCTTCCGGCCGTTTGTCCTAATTAAGAACCCCCCCCCTCCTTTTCAGGGCCTTATTATTAGGATCCCCATTATAATCCCTATTGAAGGGAGGATGTTAATTAATGAAGGGTCTACATTACGTTTTACAAGGTATGTTCCAACAACTTTAGGGGCATCCTGGGTCCATTTAGGGTCCTTCAGAGTTTCAGGCTTGGCCAACCCTATAGTCCCCATTAAGTAGATAGACTATGGGATACATGGGGATCTTACTATAACATACCCAAAGGCATATTAGGCCATATTCTATCTACTCAAGGGGGACTATAGATGCTCCCTCAGCCATGCATGTGGCAAACCCATGCGGCTAAGGGCTTTTGAGGGTGTAGGGTGTGTAGGGTTTAGGGTCCTAGTTGCTCAAAAAATACCAAGTACATAGGTAGCCCGAAAACGGGCTGCCTGACGGATACTTTGAGGCTTGAGCTTACATTGTTTTGGTACCTGATCCCTCAAAACCCTGCACCGCTATATGTCAGATTACACGGACTGGACCGACAGTTTCCGTAGCAGATCCCTGATGAGGAGGGCTGGCGAGAGGATGGCTTCACAGTCATCGCAGAGGCCTTGAAATCTGTTGTATGCTGTAGCCCTTATGGGTCCTTGTTCTGTGCAGGCAGTTCTCAGGATGGTAACACGATATTTGGCTTACATAGCGAGACCTTGGCTCGAAGTGCAAACCCTGAATCCTCGCGAGGAAGCCTATGTCATGGCGCTGGCGCGTCGCTTCCGCCAGGGCGCAATCTTCCAGTTCCAACGCCTCCCTGGTGGAGCTGCCTTTCGGAGGAGAACTGGACAAAAGAGTGGATGGAGTGCACATGACCATACCAAAAACCCTTTGACAAGGTGTTTTGCCGGCAACAGAAGCGGCAGGTGAGTTTTCAAAGGTGATGTGCCGCCATGGCACGAATATCAGACAACCACAGCTGTTGGTAAGAATCGCGAAAGGTTTGGGGCTAGTCACTTTAGGGGCAACTTCACTTCTAGTGGTTTTTCAAAGAGCAACAGCGACAGCGAAGCCGAAGGAGCAGCGGTGTCTTACAGGGTCGTGCATGGAGTGTATATGCATCTTTACATTAGTGACTTCACGGCATTTACTGTTTACGTATCCGACGGTGCATTTTTATATCTACATACTAATCAATTACGCTCACCTCCACTCAAGGAGCGAACCGTGTATCCGAGTCTTCTATCAGGATCTAGTAAGGGTTGACAGGCTTGGGGCAGACAAGGGCTTATAGATCACGGCGTGTTGTTTTTCAGCGAAACCGTGGCGGCGAGAACCGTCCAGTGAAATTTTGAGAATTCCTGCCTACGGCTTGTTTTGCTACTCCATGGCATATTGGTGCTTCTGGTTGGGTGACGGTTCCCCCTTAAGTCCATAGTCTCAGATGCACGAGGCGTTTCGCTGTTAGTCTGGCGTGATGAAAGATCACAGGCCATGCGCACGAAGCGTGTTGCAGGAATACCGTTCCCGTGTGTTTGCCGAACACAGATGCGGCTGTCAGTGTGGCCGTTTGCGACTGGGCAGGGCATTTTCATGAGTCAAGGGCCCCAACTGCTTTTAGTCTTGGCGGAAGAGGCTGTTTTGAGAGGCTTTTATTGCATCCTGCAAGGCACAGACTCATAGTAGAGTCCTATCCTTCAGGGCTTCGACTGCATGGCCTAGCCAATCCTTCTGTTGTCCCTAGAAGTTCTAGCAACAACCCGGCAAGTTCAACCGGGACGGGGAGTACCGGAACATGTTACAATGACTCCGTTCGTTTTGAGCCAGCTAGGATCTTTGGGGAAGACGTCATGAGGAACAGCTCATCTTCGCCAATTTAGCAGCGCCCAAGCACAAACCGATGGTGCTGGACTACATAGCAGGGCAACGACTGTTCAGGGCACGATTCTGCATTTCTGCTGTGGTATAATCTCATCCAACCAATTATTTTCAGCTTCGATACTTGCCCAAAACCTGTATTATAATTACTACTACCCAAAACCCAAGTACCAAATTATTGGGTACTTGCATTGGACCCTCTGGGCTATGCACAGTGTGCTTAGGCGAGAGGCCGCTGGATGCAGGTGCTTATGCCGACCCTCACTCGTGGCTGGCTGGTTGTTAGTAGGGAATGAAGGACTGGAAAATACATTTGGGGGTGTCCCAAAATTATGGGTACTTTTTTGGGGGTCCCCATAATAAGGATTGTAGTATATTGGGGTCTATATTGTGAACTACCATTTGAAACTTCTATATTATTGGGGGTGCTACAGGGATCCATTGCTCCAAGTTACCGCATTCCCTACCCGAAAATGAGCTCGAAGTAGTTCCCCTATATACCTTATGTATGTACCCCTACATTATACCCCTTCCACTGTAATGTCCCTGATCCATCTGTAATGTACTACAGGAGTTATCCATGGTTTTCTCCATTCCTCTCAACCTTAAACCCTAGAGCCTAAACCCTATAAGCAAAAAAGGAAACCCTAACATATTGTCAACCCATCAGGTGGGGCGACCGACATGGAAAGCCGTGACGCTTGCGGCTAACGTCCTGCCACTGCGTGACGATTATTCCTCGTTTCGAGAATATTCCTTAGGGCTTAGGGTTTAGGGGTTCGGGCTTATAGAGTTTAGGGTATATTAGAGTTTAGGGTATCGGGAATCAGGCACCTGCATGAGGAATGTAGGCCGCAGGTAAAACGTTGACAAGCAGCGCGCTGACATTCTCTCTCTCTACAGAGGCTTTCCCGAAATGAGGGGTACCTTCTTGAGGGTCCCTATAGTAGGGAGTATAGAATTTTGGGGTCTATTTTTGGGTCCCCACTATTTAGGGACCCTGGAGAAGATCCTTCTTGGATGCTGAGATTGGATTGTACCAGCCTTCATAACCCCAGTCTGGAGATTTCAAAAAATCAGCGGTCCCTGTCTGAGCGCCCCTGGAATAAAGATATGAGCTATAGTCTAAACATGTTTACATTCCTGACAGGGGTTGTACAGGAATTATCTAGGGAATTATTATAAGGGTTGCTAAGGGGTATACTAGGAGTTTAGACTATGGCTCATATAAAGGTGGCCCCCACCCCTTTTGAGAAACATTCACATCAATCTCATGATTTTGGGCTAGACGGGCGTAGGACCCGTCATTGCCTGTGCAATTTCTAGGCATGCTAGCTAGACCCTTTCCAAGGCGCGCTAGGCCTGTTGGAGGCCAGAGATTTCCAGGCATTGGATCGCTTAGAACCTTCTCAAGCTCAATGCCCAGGGACCTCCAAAGAGCTTCTAGGCTGCTGTTAAAAAACTTAAGTTACCATAGTATGGGCACATTGTAAGCCACAGGGTTCCCGTATTACTGCAACTTCAAGTAAGTTCTTTGACAGCAACCCAGGCTTGCCCCTGACGTCCCGTCTGCGGCTGTGGCACCTAAGAACACGGCCGTCCTTCTACCTAGAGTCTTGACCGGCTGATTTGCAGTGACTGCTAGTTGGTCTCCCCAGGAAGTCCTCAGAATCAACATCGCCTTCGAGGAGGAATGCCGGTTGCATGCTGGCAACCATCTTCGACTCTGGCTGAGCTGCGGCAAAGCACAGCTACGATCTCGTACGTAGACGCAGATCTGCATATCTCAAGCTGCGGCTGCTGACGTATGCATTGTGCAAAACAAAGGGGGGAAGCGCTGCACAAGTACAAAGCTCAACCATTAATCCTTTTGTAACCCCTATATAACCCCTATAGTTTCCATTTTCTTTTCCATTAAACCCTAAACCCTAATATTACCTCTATATTACCCCTATAACAGTAAAGCCTAAGGCCGGCTCCGCATTGTTACTATTTCCAGGGTT